TTCCCTCTCCCCCCTCTCTCTTTGAATTTTAAACGAATGGGCAAACGTATATACGAATTTTGAGCGAAACAAGTAAACTAATAATCTAGAACTCATATACCGTAATCTCTTCCAGGATAAATTTCAGTGGTATCATCTTCCAACCATGAGTCGACTTGAACGAATTCGGCCACGAAACTTGGAATATGACACTTGATTATCGCAGCGTTCCCTCGTAAGACATGTTCGTCCATGACGTTCACTGCGTATCGCTGCCCGACAACTGCAACCAGACATCGCAATAGTCTGCGTTCAGGTGTCACGTTTTTAGTGAAATTAAAAACACAAGAGACCGAGGAATATGCTTTTTTTTATACGTTTCTAATCAGGAGTGCGATTTCTCGCTTCGTAGAGTGAATTTCAAGCGATGAGAAATAAAACGGCGGACAGTTCTGGTCATCCTAGTTAATAAAAGTACCGTATGATTGATTATCGAAGGTAAAGCTTTCGGCGCTGGAACTGATCCACTCGGCAACAATCACATAGTCACCCACAAATGAAGGAACCTGACATTTGAATATCGCTGCATTCCCGCGGATAGCGAACACGTCGTACACCTGAACTTCGAAATACTGAGACACAGCTGTAATACATAATATAAGAAGAATCGCTTGAATCGAAATTCAAAAATAACTCTTCTTTCTGTTCTTCCATTTTATATAATGATTGTTTGTGCCAATCGATGCTAATTTGTGCGTCATGTCCCACCCTTCTTTCAACGTGCATTTTTCTCGCATTAGTCAGAGACATGAGTCGAATGAAAATAAATGCGTTAATTGGAGCTATAAAATACTATGTTTTGTAAAGATGCCGTTCGCACGAGTAAAACTGAAAGCTTCGACGACTTGATTTTTTATTACATCCAATATGTTAAAAATGATTACAAAAAAAAAAAAAAAAAAAAAAAAAAAAAAAGAAAAGAAAAAAAGCAAACAACTAGATTATTAAAATGATCGAAATTATCCAAATTAATAATTAAAAAAAAAAAAATATTTATTTATTAATGAAATATTTATACTTATAATTGGTAGAAAGATGCTCATTTTTCATATGAATATTTATAACTCGGCTTTTGGTAGTTGAATTTTGTTAATACGACTAAATATAAAAAACGAATGTGCGCAATTTGAAATTACGAAGCATTTTCACTTGAATAAAAATAAATTCAAAAGTTCAAAAGTTGATAATTAAATTCATGTTTACATATGATTGAAAGTAACTTGATAAAAAATCACTATACAATCAAGCTCAATTACTTTACTTTTCAATAATATTACTATCGTCAATATCGTTTCTCATGTAGTTATGTTTTTTTTTTTTTTTAAGTAATAGCATATATCGTTGCTGGTAAAATAAATTTTGCCTTGATAAATAACTCTACTTATTTCAAGTATCATGAATTTTAACGAAAAAAATGTACATAACGCATACCTTAATTTCGTTACTTTTTAAATATCATAAAATAATTCCCATTTACTTATTATTTGAAATTAATGTTTCGAATATTATATAAGCAATATATCTATCGATCTATCCATATATATATATATATAGATACAAAAATACATTCTCAATCGTAGAATTTCTAGTCGAATCTATTTCGAATGGGTCTTTAGTTTTGATATATTTTTCTTTAATTAAATTTAGCGTAATTTTACATGATTTAACGTCTTTCAATTTTCGCTCGAATTTAACAGAATGATTTTATGTTAATACGCCTCCAAGTGCTTATGTAATTACAAAAATCTGATAGACTAAGCAACGATGAACGATCCAATGGGCTCGGGAAGGTTGAGAAGGGAAAGGAGCCAGAATAAGACTAAAATTTGTTTATAATAGTATTGAAGATAAAATAAATGCACAGTAAAGCATGTGATTTTGCAATTCCAATCAATTCAAATAATCGACCATACTTCTTTAGTTTTCTTTGGCAATAAAAGGCGAACGAAGACGCAATGGCGATTGTAATTTGTATACATAAAAAGCAAAATGCATAAAGTATGACTTTAGCATAAAAGTTATGAAAATACCGTTTCAATTATTAGAATAATCAGGCTAAGAGAAGAGTTTTTCTTTAACGCATTAATGACGGTCGATCATTTGACTTTAGGGGCGAAAACAGGCCGTCAGTGGTGTAAGTGACTCTGTCCTTTAGTGTAGCTGCACGCCTACCGTATTCCCTGCCGGGAGTATAAACGGAGCCATCACTGGCCATCCACTGATCTACGTAGATAAATTCGCTGACGAAACTCGGAATTTTGCACTTCATGATAGCGCTATTGGCCCGAATCACGTACTCGTTCTCGGCCTCAGTGACGTAAGACTGCGAAACAACTGCCCGCGGGAAGCCATGCACAGTACACACATTGACATACATTAGAATTATATATGTAAAACAACATATCAAGGTTTAATGTTTTACAACTTTTCAACGCTTTAATTGCGTGTTTTTTTATATAATCGCACGATTCTGTGATTTCAAATCAAAGCCGTATGTTTCCTCGTGCTCTTATGTACCCGAATTATTAGTCCGCAGTCTCGGCAAGTAAGTCTCGCCATCCTCTCTGATCCAAGCCTCGACCGTCACGAATTCAGCAACGTAGCTCGGTATACTGCATTTCAATATCGCGCTGTTGCCTCTTATCACGTACTCAGTCATTATTTCGGGGTGATACGCCTGCGTAACAACTACATAAGAAAGGACGTACTTGAGATTTAATCGTCAAGCGTCATAGAGTAAAAGAGAAACAAAAGTATTCTCGCAGTATTGCTATTAGAAGGCACATGTAATAACTCACGAGTCGTCGTGACTCTCTCGATTCAGCGACTCAGCCTCGATTCAATTTGCATTGTCTCGACTCGCGCGGAAGAGCTAGGAGAGCAAGGGAAGGACAAGAAAGAAGATAAGTAAGGAGAGGATTGCTCGCGAAAGTGAAAAGAGTGAGAGTGAGAGTGAGAGTGAGAGTGAGAGTGAGAGTGAGTGAGAGAGCGAGAGAGAGAGAGAGAGAGAGAGAGAATGAACGAATGAATGAATATATAGAGAAGGAGGGAGAGGGCTGGTCTCAAAGTACCATAATCACGGGACATTTTGTAGCTGGACCCGTCACTTCCTTCCCACGCATCAACCGAGACGAACTCGGCTACGAAGCTCGGTATCGTACACTTGAGTATCGCTGCGTTGCCACGAATCACGTACTCCGAGACAACTTCCGCTTCGTAATATTGAGTGACAACTGGGAATGTGAAAAGTCACGCAATCGACTGATTAGAAGGGAAATGAACATTATAATTTCATTCGTTGCCTTTCGTTGCTCGCTAATTGCGCTGATGTACTTGTACGTTCGCTTCGCTTTGTTGCTTTATTTCATTTTGTTTGCTTTTTTTCTTACAAGAAGACGACGTGAATCTCGTTGATAAATGTTTATTTTAAATTCTTGCCTTAAGGACTTAATTTTAATCTTGCCTATTCAAATTCATAAGACAATCAAACTGCCTACGGAAAATAATGCATACACTGAAACATATATATACAAATATACGTATATACACACACGTACCGTGTATAATATATCTTACACTGATAATCATTTTGATTTTATAATAATACTAAAAAAAAATTGCTTTAATGTTTTATAGGCTAGCTTTTATGTGTCAATCGAATAATACTTTTTATTCCATGAAAATTTGCACATTATTATGTGTTGGCTAGTATCTATCGATAATGTTATGTTCCAAATATACACAATTTTAAAATATCAATAAACACTTCATTTCGTACGTAGAAGTAGTGAATAATATTTCGAGAACAAAAAATTGAAAACATCGATTAAGAGTAGAGCGAATTACAAATATTAATTTTTATTATCAATGAAAGTTTTTGTATATATTTGCTTCAGTAACAAGACTAATGTAACGAGTAGGGGACTTGTAAATTGACACACGTGTAAATAAATTACTACTACCCGACTCGCTTTCCATATTGAATGAATTTCCTTGATTGTCCTGCCATCCGACAATCTGTACAAACTCAGCCACGAAGCTCGGAATGCTACATTTCAAAATCGCCGCGTTCCCGCGTATCACATACTCATTATTTACTTCTGACTGATAATATTGGTGTACGACTGCAAAATTTTGACAATTAATATCAATTATTATAAATTTTTCGCCACTAAAGAGAGAACAAATGGTTATTTATAAATATTGTCATTTTTATAGAGTAATTTTCGCTGTGAATATAGAATAGCTCGAGCCCTTGTAAGCATTTGAGCTAATTTATGCTTAATGGGGGTTTCAACTAGTTCAACTATGAGGCGACCTTGTGCCAATATCCACGGAGAATAAGAGCACTCGAGCTTTTGTAGTGAGGTCGCTGTAATTGACATTTGAAGCAAGGTCTAAAATATTTTTCATGTAATATTTTCTTTTAATTTTTGAGCCATTCTAGATAGATGTTTTGAATTTGTTTTTGCATTGTTATAATTACATTTACTTTAATTAAATATATATACATATGACTAACCCTATTAAATTATATATATATATATATACCCTATTAAACTTTCTTAATAAATTATTATAAAACGAAAATCATTTTCAATCTATTTATACAACTCTAATTGATTAATTGTCAAAAATATCGTTTTTTTTTTTTTTTTTTTAAAGGTAATCATTTATCAGATTATTAATTGACGGCTATTAAAAAATATCCGAATGTAGTGCCCATTAATTATAATATTAGGTTCAACTAATGAATATTATTATGATGAAAGGTACATACGAATTATAAAAAAAAAAAAAAAAAAAAAAAAAAAAAAAAAAAAAAATAAAAAAAAAAAAAATCCAAATTAATAGACTCTTTTTATAATTTTAAATGGAATTTACTCGAATTCGGCCGTAAGTATATTACTAATCATTTATAATAATTACATTTATGATCTAGTAATTGATAATTGTTTAGAAATGTAATTTACGGATTCATTTGTATTTTGTCTGTAATGAAGAACTACGTCGCATTAATTAAAAATTTTTACTCTTTCAATAACTAAGCTCTCGCAATCTGTCCCAGTCTTTTATACTAAGCGTTTAGTTTACATGATCCAAGTACCATAATCCTCATTGCCGTCATTATTTCTTACAAATTCCTCTCCTTGGTCGGTATGCCAAGATAAAACTGTCACAAAATCTGCGACGAAGGATGGCACGACACATTTCAACACAGCACTGTTTCCTCGAATCGCATATTCTTTGTTCACGTCAGTATCATAATACTGTGCGACCACTAGAGATAAATTCATCATACGAATTTAACTTTTTCACATTTACATAAGATGTTACATGCTTATAATTTAATATAGTTCAGATATCCTGTAATATTCGGAAGGCCATTAACAGTTTTCCACTGGCGAATTCAATGAATTGAATTATCATTGTCACCTTACTTACAAAATTAAGAAATAATTTTTAGTTTTATAATACGCCGTTATTCAGTAAATTATTCTATTATTCTTTTATGATTTAATTGTATAAATTTAGTATTAAAGTAGTTCGATGTTGAGAATCTTACCAGCTCTGACATTTACATCTCGGCTGTGAATGGAACCAACGGGATTTCTTGCAAGACAAATGTAAACTTGTGCATGCACTTCTTGGCGATAATCTTCGGCTCTAAATGGTGGAAATACCAAATTCCCATTTGGCAAAACCTATAAAATGTATATATATATATATATATATATATATATAAATGTAAAAAATTCGGTGATTTTATAAGAAAATTATTATCCTTCAAATTCGAAATTTTTACATTTTCAAACATTATTCCTTATACATTGCATACATGCTTTAAAGAATGGCCAGAGTAGGAAGAGGCATTTCGATTAAAAAATTATCTAAAGAAAATGTCTCATTAAAAAAAGAAACTTTTATCAAAGTTAAATACATATAATTACTCATATTTTTATTAACTTTAAATGAACATATCGTCCCGTTAGAGTAATTTGTAACAGAGTTACTATTTTTTATTAACTCAATATAAATGTATGATTATTCTAGTTAAATCTTACGTTAAATTTCACGTTATAAATACGGAAAATGCCTTATCTTATATAGATTCATAATTATCATAAATTTTCAAATAAAATCATACTTGTCGTAGTCCAGGTACATCACCAACAGCAGTTCCATCAGCACGAACCCAAATTATATCTGGTTGAGGATTTCCTCTTGCTTGGCATTCGATCACAGCTCCAGTACCATTGGAAAAATCTACTCGATTGGGTGGTTCCTTAATGAAGATAGGACCCATAGTTTCGTCTTCTGCTGATACTGCTGCATTCAAAAATATATTTATATCAATGAAATGCGAGTATATATTATTGAAGTATTTCTTACAGTAATGGCGATAGAATTTTTATTGCACTTGATTGCGCACAATGCATGATTAATTTAATAAGCTTACGATAGGTAATGAGATTGACTTACCCATCATACATACTGATGAAATGAAAAGTAAAACTGCGGGACGGAGAAAACTCCCGAGCATTACGGGAGATTTCCGCCACATCATATTATTTCTGGGCGCTTTCTTATATTTCCTGCAACAATTATATTTATAAATTTTCTCTATAAAACTAATTTATCTTAAAAGGCGTTTCACTCAATTTCTTCAAATACTTTTAATTGACTTTATTACATATGTACAATAATAATAATGATTAAAATGCAAATCATAGGCAATTTTTTTTTTTTTTTTTTTTTTTTTTTTTTTTTTTTACACGAATATGCAATAAAACGATAAATGAAAAAAATGATTGAAGCCAATCGATTGTAACATGTTATTGTCTATACTATATAAAAATTTGATTGATCTTACGTAAAGCATTCTAAATAACAAAATTAATGGCATACAGCTTGCAATGAAAGGAAATCTTGTTAATTAAGAAATAATGTAAATTAGTTAATATTGTTGTTTAAATTATTTTACAATTTTTTATTATACAATCATCACGCGTAAGAATGTAATTGAATCTGTTTTAATTTTTCGTTCAAGAAAATCATTACATTAATTTTAAAATAGCATTGAAAAATTAAACAACCGATAATGTAATATCAGTTATATTAAATAATTAATATTCTATATTCATTATTAATTCAGAGAGCGTCGAGTGAATTAATTTTTTGCTAATAATAATCTTGAATTTGTAGTGAAGCTTTATCTTTTTTTTTTTATTATAAAGGCTCAATACATATATGTCATCAAATCTTGTCCAATGAAATATTTCAATAATGACACGATGAAATAATCATAATGATAAGTTTATTGTTTGCATAAATAAATTTACTATTGCGACACACTATTAAATGTATAAATTCAAAATTCTGCCAATAGGGAAAAACATCGATCTGTCTTTATCTCAACGTTCGATTGAATTACATGTAAAATCAATATTATTTTCTATTTTATGAAACAATATCGTTAATCTATTATAAATAAGTTATTTTATTCTCATGCATCTTTTAAAATAAAATGTAGTTTAAAGTTTCTTCTGATATTTCACTTGTTATATAACTCTATATATGTATATATATATATATATATATATATATATTCTATATTTATTCTATGCTTCTATATTTATTATATCAAATTGCATCAAAATGATGTATGAAACATTTTCATTTATGAATTATTATAAATATGAAAGAAAACAAAACAAAAGAAAAATTAAATTAATGTTTGGAATCTTATTTATACAATACACAAGAAAGTAATTTGGGTATTGTGGTCTCTCAGTTATAAACTAATTAATCTCTTCTAAGCATTAAAAATCGTAAATATTTTGGATCGGGACAATGAGATTAAACGAGAATCATTCCGCGAAGCCATTTATCTTACATTTAAATATATCGACAAAATAATTTTCTAAGGAAGAGACTGCTTTACGTGAGACTACGAATACAATTATTGTTTATAAATGCATAAAGTGTATTTCGAGGGGTGAAGAACTCGAGTCATATTCCATTATGAGTCATAGCTTTGGTTTTGAATAAAAGAAAAAAGAAAAAAGAAAAGAACAGAATGAGACCCGTCGTTGGGCGTCGTGGCAGCATAATGGCAAGCTACGCCACAACGTCAAATGCTGGCTAAGCAATAACTTTTTGGCGCCAATCGATGTAGGAATTTGCAATGTAAGAGAGCATTGTGCAGGAGGTAAACAATGAGCCGGTCTATAAACATTAATTGCAAGTACAACACGAGCGAGCGTGAATAACGCTGCCGCACGTGGCTAAGCTCGCGCCTTGAGAGCTCCGTGCGCGTGTATTGGTGGCCATATGACAGCACAGTTTGAGCGGAGGTTCAGCTGGAGAAGGAGGAGGCGGAGGTTGTGCGCGAGGTTTAGTGAACGAGAGAATGGTTAGAGCCCATATAGCTTGAAAAGGCGGCAAGCTGCGGACGGGATGGTGGCAGAAAGAGGAGTGGGGTGTGAGGCAACGGTCTCTGAACGGTACACACGACCGAGCGCGAGAGAGCGCGAGAGAGAGAGAGAGAGAGAGCGAGAGAGAGAGAGCAAGGAAGAGAGAAGAGACAGAGAGAGAGAGAGAGAGCGAGGAAGAGAGAAAGAGACAGAGAGAGAGAGCAAGAGCGAGAAAGAGAGAGAGAGTGTGAGAGAGAGAGAGAGAGAGAGAGCGTGCGCGCGTGTGAGCGAGTGCCGCGCGGGGGAGGTTTATTGATCGTGTCAAACGAAACGAATGCGATATCTTGGCGTGTTTCACGAGGATTCAACGTCGCGCTGACGAGCGCAGCTGAATCAGAGGCTTAAGTGCCCGGTTCCCGTCGAATCCTGGTGTCACGATATTTCTTTCTCGCCACGGCGACCGATGCACGAACCCGGGCGAAAAGAAAGTGCCGTGAAAATGGAGGCCTCGCCATTGCTTTATGATTTTCAAGGTTCAAAACCATGTGTCTCCCCGGGTCTCGTGCTTATTAACAGACGCACCGGACATCCGGCTTGGGGTAACTCGGTGCTTCGACGGATCATCTCTAGTCCGAATAGCCCGAAGCTTCCAAACAATGAGAGCGCGGATGTGGGGACTCCATGCGCGCACCCAAATACCCACACACACGAGGGCGCGTACGCACACATGTCTACCCCCACCCATGATTCGAGGAGACTCGAGACTCATCGGCTAACGTGCTTGACATTTCTAAAGCGGCCGCCGAACAAGCCTTTTTCTCTTTATCTCCATGGCGCGTGTGTACGTGTAAACCCCCCCCCCCCCCCCCCCCCCCCCCCCCCCCCCGCCCCCCCGACCAACTCTCGCCACCACTTCACTCGCTCACTTACTCTCTCTGTTTTAACACAATGTGTGAGTGCGCGCGCGTGTGTGTACATGTGTAGATGTGTGTGCGTGCGCGTGTGTGTGACACAGAGAGTGAGAGAGGGTGAGAGCGGTAATGACGCGACGAGCAATGCACTCCGCGATAAACCGTGTTTACATGTCACCTTATCGGCTACTGACAGCGACTCTCACGAACACCCGGAGCTCCTCTCCTCGAACAGGCACCCACTTCTCACAGACACTAGCACTCGCACTATTTCTCGTTGGCTATTTAGCGACCGCCCGTCCCCGTTACACCCCCTCTATGTTTACTGACGGGGATGTCCGGTGCGGGATGTTGTTTGCTGCACGTCGTCGACACTCGACCCAACGACGATGCACCGAGGAGTTGCTGCTGCCGTTGCTATTGCCGTTGCCTGTGACGCGACACGAGACGAGACGACACGACACGACCGCTCGCACTTCCCCGTGTGAACCGCGTACACAACCAACTCTGATGCAGCGCTCGCGCCTCCGGTTCACTAGTGCGTCCGCCGTCCGACGTCACGCAGTCGCGCTAAGGTCGCCACTTTCGCCACGCCGCCATAACAAAGCGCCAGAACCCGCCAACGTTTGAACTTACCGGACCGACGCCCTCGGCCTTCCAGTCTTCTCCTTTATCCGCGATCGCAGCACACCGCAGCCGTTGCTGTCGACCCTACTCCCGGAGTACCTACGCAATCCGCTTGGCTCTATGTCACGATACGTACGCGAGGAGTCGAGCGCTCGCTCGCCCGGTCGACATGGAAATCGAGCGGTGCGTCGTCGTCGATTGCGGAAGACGAGCGACCACCGCCGGTACACCGTGCAGGCGGTCCATGCAGCTGCCGTCGGCTGTTGACATACATAAAACGCAGCTTGCATTCTACCTGTGATCAGATGGCGCTGGTCGCCTCTTTCTCCGGCCCACCTGTCCATTGCTCAAACACCAACACTCCCCCCTACCCCCTCCCGCCCCGCCACGACCACTGTCTTACTGCTTCATCGCCATGCTTCCTGCCCCCGGCCCCGCCGCGGAGCAGCGCAGCTTGTCACGCACACGCGTGCACGAGCGGCGGACCCACCCGCTGCGATTTTTTTCCTCTTACCCGCACCTTTTTTCCTCGCGATAGAGATGGACTATTGGAAGGTAGAAGAGGTAGACACTACGATACCATTACCTTGTCGAATACACGAGATGCATCAACGATCGCTAATCTCGGCTTGAGTAGACTAAACGACGCTGACACGCGATGCCGTAATGAAAGTTTATAGTTCTTATCGATCATCCAGTGCATTATGATCGATGATACTTAATATTCGGGAGGTTCGGGCTTGGAATTTTTAAAAAGTAGGTTGCTCCTTTACAGTATGCTTCAAGGATAACTTCGAGATTGGCCGAATATTCAAGTATTTAAGCAAATGCACGTGACCGAGGATGCGGATTGTTAAATGTTTCGAATTGAATATATAAGATTTTATGATAGGCGATAGAAATTCGTTAATTCTCTTGGAGATATATACATGCATATGTATATAATCTCGAGAAATGTTTATATTGCACGAAAGAGAAAATCCCATTCTCGCATCGACAATATACGACTCGCGCATTATATTCTAATTTGAGTGCAATGAAAAATATATTATTGTCCTGAGTAAATGCTACTATAATAATATATATATATATATATATATATATATATATATATTTAAAAATACAACTAAACAAATTTGTATTACAAATTATTTACTTTATCTACATGTAACTACACATTTTTAAAGACAAAAATCTTGTAATGTGGCATTACGTTCTGCTCCAGTAGAAGCGTCAGCTGTGCCTGAATTTATTTGAAACCGAAGAAAGGTGTTTGTTATACATATGTATGCATCTGCCCGCAATCTCGTTTCCTGCGTACGTGCGCACATGACTGTTAACGTATATAATGAACTGAATAATAAGTTTCTCAAGGTACCAATACAAATCAATATTTACGTAATGATTAGGAGAATTTTTGAATCCCCTTAAAAAATGCAACTCTCATTGTAATTCATAATGTATAGCGTTGCACTTTTTAAACGCATGTTGATTAATATTTGTAGAAAAAATTTCATGACTCAAACAATCGCTAGAAGCATTTAATATCTTTAGCATTTATTTAACGCTATCATTCATTCAGTATATTTTGTATGTAATAGAGCGAACGGGGGAAAGGATCAGCTGCTGGAAGAAAAGTTAATTAATTATTGGATACAATTATAAAATAGATAAGAAAGTTGAGATATTTATTTATTTTATTCGTAAAAACTATAATTAAAGACTGTTTTCCAATCAATGTTTTTAAGACAATGCTTAAATGGATTAATTAACGGAAGAACTACTTAGTTTATCAAGTAAATGCTTATACGTATTGCACAATTATTTTAAATTAGAGTGTAATTTTTTAATATTTTCTATTGGGATTAGTGCGTGTTTTTTTTTTTTTTTTTTTTAGATAGCGCAACGTAAATTTATACATTGTAAATAATAAGAGAAACTGAGCGAATCTAATCTACGATTTCTTTCTAGTTACACATTAATTCTAATTCAAAATGACATACAACATATCACAACATTTTATGTAGCGAATGGTTTTATGAACATTCTTCAAATCAAGATTTTGTTTTTGCTTATTTATCCCGACACCTAGTTATGTAATTTCAAAGAAATAATTACATAAGCGAACTATATAATTGAAAATTAAGTAGATATTATTACCATTACTATGATTTGTTCATGATGAAAATTAATTTTCTTTTAATACCACTACTTTCTCTTTATATTTAATTCTCCTTAATAGAGAGAATTTAAGTTTAATGTAATATAGGAGCGGGCGGGCGGGCGGGCGGAGGGGGGGGCGGGGGGATACTGTTAAATACATTGTTCTTTATATGTGCATTATGTTTTTACTTTAATAATGATATGTATACTTAATCACCGAGAAATATAACCAGTAATAAGATTTCTAAAGAATTGATGAATAATTCATTTTAGGTCCGCCCGTTTTTTTATACATATAATGAATTTCAAAGGTCTAAATAGATTTTCTTTTCATTTTTAAATGCCTGTTGCTTTTAGTAAAGCAATTCATTGTTCGAGAATAGTTGTGTGGAGCTTAAAATAAAATGACAAATTTCCATTGATGTAAATTCTGTTTTAATTCATGACCAAAATGTATAATATATATATTTTTAAATATATTCTCGCTAACGAAATAAAATATTTAGATGCCGAGAATCTATTTTGTACATTAAAGTAATTTTTTGTACATTTTTCATTTTCAATGTTATACTCTTATTATTATTGAAATTTGATAATTAAGATAATTAACAGAAAATGTACAACGAAATATCTTAATATGCTATTATTTATCATGAAATTATATTTAAAGCAATTTTAATACTAATTTTAATATTATATCATTACCCAACAAAAAAGAAAAAAAATTTTTTTTTAATTAAATTTTTAATTTAATAATTAAATTTCAATTATTATTACGTATGAAATATTTTTTAGAAATGAAACGATAGTTATACAAAGAAAATTATATAACATAAATATTATACGATATTTAAATAATCAACTCATTCGATTAAATATTACACTGTAAATACATATAATTGAGCACATATAACAAAATATTAATAAGTAATTTTCAAATATCAAATTTTCATGATAATATAATAAATATATAATAGCCATTGGTTAAATTTTCTGAACTCAAAGTGAATTTGAAATTATTAACTAACGTAATAATATTTATGCTCCATCAAAAAAATATAAAGAAGGTACTAAGGTACTAAAAAAGTACTTAAAAGGGTACATTTATATTAAGTATACTTGTTGCATAATCTATATTATAATTTAACAAATTTATTTAACAATTTTCCGATAAACATTGATTAAAAGGATCGCTTAACCAGTGAATATATTAGTTACACTTTAATAAGAACAACATTTTATGCGTTATTGATTATTATGATGATGATAATGATGAAGATGACGATGACGATGATAAGAACGACGATCATTTAATTATTATAATGACACAATGGAATAATTTTTCTAATTACTTCAGACTATTTTCAAAGAATTTTCCACATGAGAAGAAATACAAGAGATGGCCGGACAGTGTCCTTGAATTCGAAATTCTTCTAAATAATTTCAAATAGAAAAAAAATTAATTCACTCGGGATAAAGATCGTTAAAATTCAATGGATTAAAAAGAATTCAAATTATAATAGTGACATCATATTATTGTATATAAGATGAATAAGATTGGCTGTTTTATAAAGATAGAATAAAGATAGAAAGTAAAAAGTCTTTTAATTTAGCAAGATAAGAAAGTTCATATATCCATTAGGTGTATTAAAGTTATTAAAGAAATATAATATCATTGTAAAATAATTTCTTTCGTTGGCAAAAAAAAAACTGTATGAAAATTAAATTTGTTTCGCCAATAGATGGTTTTTTTTCTTGGTATTCATCGAAAGTTTTATTGAAATATTGTTAAATTTTATTTAGGTAACATATTTTAGAATCCCTTTTTATCAATTAATAATATATTCATTTTTTTCATACAATACCAAGTACTCATGATACCAATAGGGTATACGTATAATTTTATTTTATGAAATTTTCTTCATAAATGAGAACTAGTTTTTTTTTAACTTGGCATAGTAATCGACTCCGGGAATGAATTAAATCGCATAAATTACTAGTTATATTAGGCCTTCAAACATTTATGCATTTAAGATTTAATAGATTTATAATAAATATTTTGATGACATATCGAAAGTATTGGGAAGTTATAATTGCCGTAACATTTTTGTTATGTAATCATAAAATAATGTAATTATCTATCAATACGTATTATGGCTTCTAATGGAAAGCATTATTTGCGTTAAGATATATTGCCTAAATATAACAGTAAAATATCATTTTTATAAAACACAGATTACAAAATATTGCATCTAATGTGATTTATGGACTTATTGGAACACGTTACAAGTTATACGTAAAACACAATGATATGTCGTATATTATGAGCACTCGAAGTTCAATATGTAAAACTATTATGTCGTGGCAGAAATTCCGCTTGGCGATAAATAAAAATTAGTATTTCAAAGAATAAATAATTTTTATGACTCGGTTGAATTATTGCCATATTATTCCTTTTACTAATTTATTTAATTATATCTTAAATGATTATTTTCAATTAACTATAGTTCAACCTATTAATATTGAATAATGCACATGTAATTTATGAAAATTTAACTGAAGTAAATGTTCGTTTGGAAAAAAAATGCTTCATAAGTAATTAAATTTTTATCTTGATTCAGAAAAACAAAAACAAAAACAAAAAAAAAAAACAAAAAAAAAAGAAAAGAAAATAGAAAAAGAAAAAGAAGAAAAATATTTTAAATTTCAAATGGTTATAAGAGAAGATTTCATTGAAGAATTGACATTTGAAATATATGCTGCTGTATAATATTAATCTAAAATTCAAATAATCCTGGAGATAAAATAACTTTATCTACTTATGTTTAAAAATATGGCACTTTCTCTATACTTTTACAACTGAACACTGTGTATATTGGCTTTCTATAATTGCGATTATGACGATTTTTGCAAATTATCCTGGAATATTTTATTTTTAGGTAGTTTATCATAAAGTTGAAAATTTTAATTTCATAAAATAAAATATATATTCTATGCATTTTAAGTGAAATTCGTTTCGAGAATTATAAATGACGATTAAGTGATTAGATCTCTGATCATCAATTGATAAATTAGATTATAATCAGCGTCAAATGAGCAAATTATAATATTTTTGAATATATTTAATTTTATTTACTAGGAATAATATTATTTTTTTTTTTTTTTATTTTTTTTTACAACGGCATACATTTGGTATGGAGTTTGTATGCATAGGATGTGCTGCTACCATTTACCAATGAATGCAATTACGTACGAAATTAATGGAATACAGTGAAAATAAAAGACATCCAATTTTTGTAAGACATCCCGATACGTATTAAAAATTTCGTTTTAAGGTAATCATAATTGAGGATTTTGAGGACACTTGATCGAAGTTTCGAATACTAACGGAAAAAAATTTTAAATTAACATTGGCATAACTAGTGTGCCATATGAAAGTAAATAAAAACACAATAACAGTATTACTTATTTGTATGTGGGTATAATATTGGTAAGAAAGGAAGTGGTTTTTGAAACTTATACACGGTGCTTGCCAACTCCACGCATTGCACTAAAGCAGATACGTAAGGGCATTTTAATTGGACAGTTTTTGTAACGTTGCATGGATACGCATTATCCAATGAATAATATCTTTGGCTATTCATTAGATCAGCTATATATACTTGTAGGCAAATTAATTTATAAAGCGTTAAAAACTTCGTTGAATAGGCGGATAGAATAGAGTGGTCGGGGGGGGGGATTCTTATTGTAGAATGGATGGGAATACGATGGGAAAACAGGAATGCATAAAACATTATAAAAGTGCGGATGAGGGCGGCTGAACGGGCGGCAGCGATTATCGAAAGCCGACGATTTTTGCAGTGTTTGCCGAGTTCAATATCAGTTCTTTGTCGACACTTATTTGGAACAAAACTTTCTCTGTACGGGATGAGTGCCCCTCAAATATCTTCAACGAGAAGTTAAGTGGGAGTTAACTCTCTCTTTTTCTTTCAAGAGTACAGCTGATCCACAAAGTCCAGTGCGCGCGGCCGGACTTTCACGTTCTGCGCGGCACCCGAATGGCGACTTCTGCTCGTCAGTGCGTCAGCAGCGCTCGTGTCCGTCGCGTCAAGGGGTTGCGCGGCACCTGGTGCACGGCTCCGGAGAGCTGAACCGGGACCAGGCCGGAAAAGTGCGCGAGTGAAAGTCAGTGGGCAAGAAAAGGCGGTTTTTCCGGAGTGCGACCCCGACATCGCTT